TGCTTCCCTGCTTCAGACGAAAATCAGGACTAAATGACTACCAAGCTCTCATTAATTAAACCTGACGACAATGAAGAGCGAGGCAACCAACGTACACTACCTCACATTCTCATCTTGCTTTAGTAATTATCAAAAGCAACCAATTTTCTCTTAGACTAGAGCTCTTTCTCTAGAGACATAGTAAACAGGGTAGTGGAATCACACACACACAAAGAGAGAGAGAGAGAGGAGAGATTGAGTAGAAACGAAGGGGATCCAAAAATGATGCAAAAAGTATTACAGCATATAATATTTGTTCATTTTAGAATTGTAATTAATGGGTGTGCTAAGGTTGAAGAGTAAGAGTCAGTTCATATCACAGAAGGTTCTAGAAGAGCCACTTTCAGCACAAGGCTCAATCACTAAGAGCAGACAGGGAAGAAAGGTGATTCTTGTTTATTTTCCCCTTTCTCCACAGCTCTTTATCATGGGAGAAGGAACAATGACATCATTGCTTAGGAGATGAAAATTGTCCACTCAACCATCAGCCCACATTTTTCAGTAGGGCTATGATAATGTGTTCTTATTCTGTTGGACTAGCCAAGCTTAATGAGATGTAAAGATGGTCAGAGTTTCTGTGATGCAAGTATCTGGAAGGGTGTTTTCATACTTTTCTGCTACCTTGGGTAGTATACAAAGAAAAGAGGTGTCTTTGGTTTACAGTGTAAGCAGTTGCAAGTTCCAACAGCACAGTGCTCTGTGCTCTGCTGTATCACGTGGTAGAGGACGACATTATGACAATAATGCAGTGTGTGGGAGAGACCACATGCTAAGACAGGAAGCCAGAGAGAGTTAGGAAGGGCTGGTCTTACTGAGCTAAAGTAGGAAGGAATAGGGAAATGTGTACAAGTCTACCACTACTTGGACTGTAACCAAGGCAACTGTAGCAAGGCTCTGACCTAAGAAGCAAATCGCTTGGCACCATGAACACACTGCCCTCCGTTGCTCTGGATCAAGTGAAGAAACAACCTCAGAAATATAAGTGCAGTCAACGGATCAAAAAGCTAGTCGTGTACCATTTACTTTGTGCTGAACAAATGTGTTTCTTGTGTAATGACTCAGGTAGTCCTCATAGCACTGTTGGTAGGAAAATGTTTTGTTCTCATGACCCACGTTAGGCAGCGGAAGGAGATGAGGCTTAATGGTTTGCTAAAGATCACATAGCTATCAAGTGACATAGTTGGAATTCCATAACAAACCCCCAACTACCATAATTATAGTCTCTTTCTAATTATAATATGTGAAGTCTATTTTATGAAAACTTACATTTTACTATTAAGTCGAAAGGAAGAAAGATTCACTTTGAGTATAAACTTACAAGGTAGAGTCTCACAAACCTCATACAGTAGTGACTGGAAGTGACTCTGACCTTCTCAGGTGAGAGGAAGGTGGTTCATTCTCCCTGTCCTCGCTCGTGCTTTTCTCTCTACCATGTTATGGTGGGTTTCCCCCTAAAACGTGGCTATGGGGGAAAAATGTTTCCAAGTTTTGGTAAAATTAGATGTTTGGGTTAGAATCAGATACACCTGAGCAAGAGAAGAGCTTGAAGATCACTTAAGTGAAGATTTCAGAGCTGAAGGAGCACAGCAGGATGCCCAAGCCCAGAGTGTAGCATTGCCAGGGCCAGAGTCCACGGATGCATCAAAGACAACACAAGGAACAAATGAAAGGCAAAGTAAAAGTTTAAAAGCTCACACAATAAGGAGTTGACTAAGATTAAATAATAACAAAGATTGATGTTAACAAAGTCATTGGATTTAGGCAACTGATTAAGTCCCTTATATACATTACGACATTAATCCTTATTATTAAAAAAAAAAACAGCATAAGACAGAAATTTAAAATTACATTTTAGTTAATTATTTGAGAATTTTGACAATATTGTTTGATAGCTTCGTGTGGTGACGTACACCTTTAATCCCAACACTCAGGGAGACGGAGGCGGACAGATCACTGTGAATCAGAGGCCAGCCTGGTCTACAAAGCAAGTCCAGGACAGCCAAGCCAACATAGAGAAACCCTGTCTAGAAACACCAAACCAAACCAACCAACAAACAAAAAAAATATATTTTGTTTATCGTCAGTCTCAAGTTCCCACCAACTCCAGGCAGACTGACCTTTACCTCTTTACCCGTCTATGTTAGTCACAGATGCATGACCAACTTACCAGGGGTCGTGCCTTTACAGTCTGCCCCTTCCAGAGGCCCTCAATTGCCAAGAGCCTCTGAGCTTGGGGTGAAACTTCATGCTTGTCTCACGCGCAGTCCATGCTGATATTTGCTCTTGTTCTTGCTTGCACAGGTCTCATACATGCTATAATTACTATTGTGAGCTTAGATATGCAGTTGCCCTGTTGTGTCCTGAAAACACAGCTTCACTCTAGACATCCACTACCTCTGGCTCTTGCAGTCTTTCCTTTCCCTCTTCTGTGGTGATTCCTGGGGGGGAAGGGTATGATATAGATGTTCTGTTTAGGAACGAGCACTCTGTAGTCTCTTACTCTATGCCCAGTGATCAGTTGTGGGCCCCTTGTGTTAATCACCAGCTTCTGAAAGAGGAAGCTTCTCTGATGAGGTTTGAGAGACGCACCAATCCATGGATATAGCAATAAGCCATTAGGAGTGGGGTTCATACTGTGTCATTTAGCAGAATGAGAGTATTAGTTTCTTCCCTAACATTCATGACCTATGTTGCCTCAAGTTCTTGGCTCTGATAATGGTGCCAGGTAACGGCTCTCTCTTGTGGATCAGACCTTCAATCCAATCACAAAGTGTTTGGTGACTCTCATAATATTCATGCCACTATTGTACAAGTGGCATGTTTTGCCAGTCTAGTCATTATAGTAGTTCACAAAGTTCACAAATGGGTAAGATGGACCAACACTTTCTTGCTCTGGATGTGAGCATGGCACCTTCCAGTACTGTGGAAACGAGCCACTTGGGATAAAACTTCCAGGATGGTACCAGCCTGATTTCTCCATGTTCTACGATTCAAGTAACAGCAATGGGGTCTTACCATCAAGTTCTGGAGAACAATCCCAAGCAATGACAATGTAATTTAGGGCATTTATGAGTCCCCAATGGCCAACACTTGTTAGCAAAAGATGTAATCCAGTTTTGTTACCGGGCTTTCTACTTTCTAGCCTGTGGTTTCTGGTGTGGGTATCATGCCCCTGTTATTGTACAACTCTATTTAAACTCTTTTAATTATATATATTATATATATTACACTTATAACATATAATTAAGTTCAGCAAAGCTTAAGAGTTTAAATAGAGTATATAAAATATACATTAAATATATATGTGTGTGTCTATATACATATATGTTAATTTAGGATGCTTTTACAATAGTAAGCTTTCATATGACTTTTTAAAAAGGCATTTAGAGTTAGTTTCCTCTCCCCATAGTCCCTCCTCTACTCTGGCTTCCTATTTCCCACCTCCTTTAACCTTTCCTGTTCCATTAGTCTACCTTTTTCCTTTAGATCAATGCTTTATATCGTCATTTCCCATATTCCCTTACCAGTTTTTAGACATCTATGGGGTTTTCAAATAAACCTCCACCTGTCCAAAGATCAAAGCTAGCATCCACATATGAAAGAAAACTTAATAGTTGTTTTTAGTGTGTCTGAGTTATTTTACCCAGGACGATTGTTTCTAGCTCCAGCTATTTGTCTGCAGATTTTATTTTTCTTGGCAGATGGATACTATTTCATTGTGCATATGTATCATGTTTTTATTGTCCCTTCATCAGTTAATGAACATCTACATTGTCTTGGTCATCGATATTGTGAATAGAGCAGCAATGAACGTGGGTGAACAAGTGTCCATGTGGTATTATATGGAGTCCCTTGGGTGTTTGCCCAAGAGTGGTGTAGCTGGATCCTGTGGTGTACCCATTTTCAGGCATCTGAGGAACGTCCACACTGATTTTCCTAGTGACTTCACCATCTATAATCCCACTGGTTCCTGTTTTCCCACCTCCTAACTGCTACTCTTTTTTTTTTCTTATCATAACATTCTGATTGGAGTTAAAATGAAATCAAAGTAATTTTAATTTGCATTTCTATGATGGCCTAAGGGCTTTATATAATATAATATTGAAAAAAAAAATTACCCAGCCATTTGTATTTCCTCTTTTGAGAACTCTGTTTAATTCTGTACACTGTTTTTTTGTTTTTTTTTAAATTGGGCTGCTCTCTCTTCTCTCTCTCTCTTGATATTTAGTTTTTCATGTTCTTTATATGATCTTGATACCAACCTTCCATCAGAAGGCTGGTAAAGGGGCAAGAGTTTTATTGCCTCATTTATATGTAAGATAAAGGAAGCTATGTGAGATCAAGGAATTTGCGTAAGATGATCGGCAAATGCCTCTAGTCTCAGCTAGGCTGGGTTTCATTACATCATGCTTGAGTAGGTTCAGACTGAAGGGGTGAGAAGAGCAGGAGAGTGTATTTTATTTCACATCCTCAGGCCACTTTTTTTTTTTTTTCCTTAAAGAGAATTTTGCAATTTAAAGAGCATCTCAAAGACCGGACTAATTAAATTTAGATTTTAACGTTCTAACATGGAAAATATGTGGCAATCATGGCTGCAGAAATGAAGTTACCATTGAGCTAGTAAGCCAGACCTTTAGGGGAAAGAATCAAAAACCTGAATCTCCACCGCAAAGTGTAGAATTTATTGTTTCAGGAGGGAAGAAACCGCTTAAAGAATCAAGGTAAAAGTTTTAACTTGCAAGGCTGGAGATTTTCTGCTCTGGGTGTGTTCCCATGATGTCCTAAGACACTGATCACGTTTTACTGACAGAAGTTAGGGATTGCTCTGTTCACTGAAAACTTTCATCTCTTTGTACGATTTAACTTTGTGTCTCACCTTATCGCCTCTTCTCAAATGCAGCACAGTGAGAAATGTTTCTGAAAAAGCACCTTCCCAGGAAAGAGCGAAGAGTGGAAAAATGTTCAATGAAGCTGTTTTTATTTTTGAAATGTAAAATGAAAGTTCTTCGTTACTGGAGGGAAATGATACAAGTTCAGCAAAGCTTAACACATCAGTAGTGAAGTGACCTTCACAGTTACAGCTGCGACACCCTTGAAATGGACCTGACAAAGAACCAAATGTCATGTCCTATCTAGGAACTAGAGTAAAAAAAAAAAAAAGATGTTGTTGTCACCTAGTAAGGAAGAAACTCATTACCAATATAGAAAGGCAACAGTAATTAAATAAATTAAGAAAGCATCTTTAAACTTTTCCATATACATATAATATATATTTAAATTGCCATTGACTGTACAAGCTTTAAATTTTCAACTGAAACATTTACAGAAACTAGTGTGAAAAGTTGAAGGGAAAGTTTTGTCTTTAGAAAAGGGGGGTCATTTTATCACTCATAAGCTGCATTAAAATACTGAGAAATCAGACTTAGCCTAGGTTTCTTACTTCGTTGCTTATTCATCCTCACATGTCAGAAATGCATAGCTGTTCTCTAACCCAACCTTACTTCAACATGTCCAGGCATTTGCTACTTGGTAGCACAGAGAATACTTAAAGCTCTGACCTTAACTCAAGAGGATAGTTACATAAGCATTGTATAGGTCAGACTGGTGACATTATTACTCATGGTTCTCTATGAAGTATTAAATGTGTAATACGAGTTTTATACAGAAATAGTAAAACATCATGTTAGTGAATAAATGGTCATGAGTTAATACAAAGCTAGGTAAGTTTAAAATTTAATCTGGAATACTGCAATCCTGAGATCCAAGGCATTCAATCTTCCAGTTTCATTCTACAGCGTTAACATCTGTAAATTATATGTTATTTACACAGGTTACAATGAAGAATTCTTAAAATACTGCATGGATATGGGTAATCCTTTAACTGGAATTCCAGAGAAACGGTTATCAGAAAAAGAATGCACAGATTTGAGCCAGATGTGGGACCAGTGCTGAGAGGGGCAATAGACACAATTTTTCCTTGCAAAGGAAAAATTAGTTTTCTCCAACGGAGTATCACTGGGTGTATTGACCACACTTTAGGGTAGGGCCTATGCCCAGTAATAAATGGTCAACCCAAAATTAACCCATTGGTATTTTTGTAGACATTTTGTTTCAAAAAAATATTTTATTAACTGTCTGTCTCTGTCTTTGTCTCTCTGTTGTCTCCTGTCTCTGCCTCTGTCTCTGTCTGTCTCTGCTTCTCTCTCTCTCTTTGTGTGTGTGTGTGTGTGTGTGTGTGTGTGTGTGTGTGTGTAAGAATGGCTGCAACAGTGCTTGAGAGGGAAGAGAAGAAGAATGATGTTGAGGAGGGAGAGGGAGACAGAAATAGATATGGGGCAAGCAGATTTAATTTAAGAAATAGCATTTTGCAATGTAATCCTTTTCCCACCAATCTTAAAATTGTATGGGAGCACTCTCAAAATCTTTCTTTTTTAAAAAGATTTATTTATTTTATGTATGAGTGCTCTATCTGCCTGTATGCCTGCATGCAAGAAGAGGGCACCAGATCTCATTATAGATGGTTGTGAGCCACCATGTTGTTGCTGGGAATTGAACTCAGGACCTCTGGAGGAGCAGAAAGAGCTCTTATCTACTGAGCCTATCTACAGCCCTGCATTCTCAGAATCTTACGTGGGAATTGTATGGAAACTTGTCCCTAACATGTTGCAAAATTGGCACTTACTTAATGTTGCATTTTTAAAACATTTTGCTAATTTAAATGCCAGTCAATTTATCCCCCACCACTAGGAATAATTTTTTCCCACGCATACCATTGTGCACTTCCAACTTAGTATATGCTGGCATGACGGCTAGCAGGTGTTTAGAGCAACGGTTAGTGAGCACGGTTTCCACCAATGAGAAAATGTCAAAGCTCAGTCTGTGCTGTTTAGCATGAGAGCCAATAATCAAAGTGAAATATTAATTATTCAGTACTTGGGAATTCTTAACATTGAGAAGGCTTGGGCACACGGTAGGATTTAGTACACAAAAAGTAGAAATTGATTTGAGTTTTAAAAGGCATCAGAAATTATAAAAGGCAGAGAAGTGATACAAAGAATTGCTAGAGTTTGGGATCAGTATATCTTTAGAAAAGGCAAAATTAAGAATTTCATCAAATGTACTGAGGAAAAAAAAATTATTTGATGAAAGACCTGTGAATATATAACTTTTTGTTACTGTCATGTATTTTGCTTTCAGATTTGTCAGAAATTTTGTTAAAGAGTATTTTATTCTCCACCTGAGTTTGAAAGTCTGTAACTTTATGTTAAAAGGATGAAAAGTGAACTAGAGGAAACCAGGTGACTTTGGAACCTCCACTGCAGTTCTTTACACACTCTTCGTCTCATTGGGAGTTAAGACAATTCCACACCACATTAGGGCTTTTTAAAATGGAAAGAGCTTTACCCAGAGGTATTATGTATTAGCCTTCAAATGAAATCCTGCATGGAATACTGTTCTCTTCTACAAATCCTAAAGTGTATCTGTTCTTCTCCAGTTTGCAAGTGAAAGATAAAATAATTTTCAAGGGCAAAAATCTAAGAGGAGGTATTTATAGCAAATGGAAATGAACCGTGTCTGTATTGGCTCTTTTCTTGGTGGATAATTTTTTAGCAAGCTTTGATGAAGTATAAGCTCTGTGTCTGAGGCCAGTGTCTTGATCTGTGAGGAGAAGAGCCTAGAAACAGGTGCGGAACATGATATTTTCTATAATATAATAACTCACTTGGTCATTTCTAATAATTTTTAAGCCCCAAAGTCTCCACACCATCACAAGAAGAAAGAGCATAATAGCAACGAACCTAGAAAGCTAATAACTTCAGGAACTACTTCCTAAATTCGCTTAAAGCAAATGAAAGGCCACGTAGAAAAAAGAGACAGAGAAGAGTTACATCTGGGGTTTCAAAAATGGAGTCTCTGGTTCTCTCTTTCTGGGAGTCAATGAAATGAAAACAACTGTATTTCCAATCAGTGATGGGGTCTGGTTCACGCATCACTCTTGGCGTACGCTCTTGGATCATGCAATCATCAGTGGCTGGTGCACATCAGAATGTAATATTGAAAAAAAAGGAATCCCATGAAGATGGATTTATAGAACCACATTAAGAATCTTTTTCAAAGCAGGGAGGTGGCACACGTATACTCACACTAGCACGCAGCACACACTAGCTCAGCTCACACCATGATTGTGGAGAAAAATTGAGGTGAAACAAGTCTCAGAAACCTTTTACATGAGCATCAGAGTCAGCTGGGTGTTTAGCAATGGCTGGCTGATCAAGAGTCTAAGGCAGGAAACCTAGTTTAAAAACTACAAGATTTCTATTTACTTCCCTTTAGTCTTTATATAAGTAGAGACAAATGACAAGTTATTGCTGTTATTTCCCACCTAGTCTTAAAGCCCAATACAAAAATAAGTCAATGTGTTCTCTAATGCTTCTAAAAACAGTTTGAGTAATAATTTTACTTATGTGATTAAAGAAATGAAGTAGACATCTACATTTATGAAAATCTTACTTTTAGTTACATTCAAAAGAAAATACAGTCCAGTTTTGTTTGGTGGAAATCTCCCATCTACTGCTTCATTCCCTTTATGCTGTAAAACATTTTTTGGGGGGACAAAATGTATTTGCAGTGCAAAAACAAAAACAAAACAAAAGTCCATAAAACTAATGATTGAATCGAGCATTTGGATGAGTTCTCTGATGGGTTATCTACAAGCACAAGAGTCTACTGTCATGTTAGGATAGACTTTAAGCACAACATTCTTGTTTTCATCAAAGAATAATATACTGAGTGAGGACATCTTTTCTGGCACACAGCAAGGCTCAGGAATTCCAGAGACGACCCCCACAGCTCTCACTATGCTCTGGATGGTTGCATGATTTGACGGCTTCAAAGACTGGAAAAAGAAATAAGAGAAATATGTCAGGTAAAACTGCTTTCCTCGGGTCTCATCACATATAATGGATTTGTTTGAACAGTTTTAGGAAGGCCTACATCATTGAATATTCAGCCCAAACTAGTCTACCTCCAAGGATGTATCCTCTACAAAGCTCCTGCTGTGCTCCAGGAATTTTGTAGGTGGTGCCTTTAATCTTCACAACAAATTGGCTACATTTTTTTTTCAGAGACTCAGAAACTTAAATGACATGTCTGAAGTCAAACAGCTGGCAAGTAGTATAGTGAAACTTTGAACTCCATTCTGTTGGCAGAAATCATTTAATAAGAAACACCTTAGCCCCCCAACCATGGAAGTAATATATTCTTTATGTTTTTAATTACAACAACAAAAAAAATTGTTCCTGACCCTCTATGAACCTTTAAAGAATTCCAGCAAACACACCAACAGAGATAAACATCAGCAACTCTAAAGTGAAATTTATTCACTGTTATTAAAATTAAACTAGGTGGAAGAGAAGGCTATTTGTTTCTTTTATCTTGTACTTGACAAAAGGATTAGTCTATGTTACTCTTTCATTCGTAGTATACAATTACTCAGTTCGGACTACTTGATTGGGGTTGACAAGGTGACACTATTGACCACTGGAGGTCACTGTCGCTCTGTGGGCAGCTCAAACTGGGTGGCATGGAGGTCTAAGGTGGACCACGTCCTCCGGGATCTCAGTTTTTCACTTGGGTGTCAGAAGTTTGATCAAGAAAGCCTTGGTTACACTCTTCCGTGATGAAATGGAATGCATTTACTTAGAAAGATACATACAGCTCTACCTAACCTAGAGGTGTTGAAAAGAGTCACAATCTCAAGCCCAGAGTTGGTCAAAAGAACTTTTCCAAAAGAGAAATGTCTGGCAACACTTCAACTCTCCTAGTATTTTTTTTTTGGGGGGGGGGAAGGGGCAGAGGAGGGTGAAATTAATTGAGGACCATGTTTATGGCTCAATAGACCATTTGCCTACCATGAGCAAGGGCCTGGGTTTGATCCCCAGTTCCCCTCAAAAAACACAACACAACAAAACAAAATAAAAACACCCTCCCTCCACCCCCAAAAAAACAAACAAAACTGAAGGTGTGGTGTAATCCTACAATCCTGATTCTCGAGAGTCAAAGGCAGAAAGATAAGGAGTTCAAAGTCAGCCTCGACTACACAGTTAGCTAAAGGTCGCCCTGGGTTACGTGAGACTCTGTCCCAAAACAACAAAAAACAAATCAAAAGCTAAGTAAACAACAACCAAGTAACCATGACAAAACAGAGGAATACGGACAATGTTATTTTATCTAAAGCTTTCCTATTCCTCACAGCTCAGAGGGTTTTGTGCCCATGAACTTAAGACTCTAATCCCCAGCCTGTGGAGAACAGCAGGAACATGGGAAAAGACAGGAAGTTAAGGGGGCAAGCAGGCCAAAGGAGAAGAAAGTGACTCTGGAAGCTGATGTACTCTAAGAAAATGAAAACAGGCCAAAGAAAGGATTGTGTTGGCAGAGGAAGGGAAGTGTTATCTGAATCATTCCCTCTTTTAATTTCCATGGGGAAAAAAAATCCATATACTATGCTTCAATTAAAAAAAGAAAAAACTAGTGTTAATAATACGGGACTGTTTTAACTCTGCTTCCTAGTGACTGGAAGAATGTCACTAATTAAATAAATGGTTTAATTAATTAAATGGTTAATCAACTGTAATTGGTTACAAAACAATGTATTCTCACCTTATGTTTCAAAAAGTCTGAGGATTTGTACTTTACATATTATTTGCCCTAGATTAAAATGACTTTACTGCATGAAAATTAGTAGAAAAAAAATTGTAGGATCAAAAGGGGGTGCAAGTGTATATGAAAATGTCACAATGATGCCCATTATTCCACATAATTAATATTTATGAATAAAAAGAAAAGGTGTGAAGTTTAAGGGAACTGCCTTCAGCATCCTAACACAGCAGTGAATAACCAGTGCTGGCTGCTGCATTTATGTGGTTGGTTTCCCCTTTTTCTTGTATAGATTGAAAGCTATTTGAAAGACAGCCTTTCAAACAGCTTGCTGTTAGAGCATTAGAGGCAGTTGGAGCCAGTTTTTCTGATGCTGGTCTCAGTGGTTAATGTTTAATGCCTGAATGCCATGCAGTGCAGGTGGCCTTAATTAGTCGGGTACTTGAGCAATTCGTATGGCTGTGCACAGCCTCGCTCAGCACCTAGAACAGTGCACCTAGACACTGGAGCAATATTGTTAAATGACTGAAATACTTAGAAGAAATAGCACCCCCTTTGTTTTACTCATTTATAAGAAATAACTCCTATCAACAAAAATAAAAGTTTCTGTGCAAGTGACTTGGTGTAGATATGGAAAATATTCATGGGTGTTTCCTAGGAAAAATTCCTCTCTCTCTCTCTCTCTCTCTCTCTCTCTCTCTCTCTCTCTCTCTCCTCTCTCTCTCCAAGTCAGAATTGATGGGTTCAGAAACTGAGTATCTGAGTAGTCTCTAGTGGGCTCGCCAGAATCAGGCCCAAGCCCTTCATTCTGGGAAGTTTTGTATTAGGGACCTCTCACATGACCAGGGAGTATCCCCTGTTTTCTAGCTATGGAACCCTCTGATGGAGCTACCATTACCAGAAATAGCATCATGCACAAATAATCCATGCTATCATTTGCTGGTGTGAAGCATGCTGCCAGAGGAGTTTTCGCTCTCCAGCTAGGAGCGTGTTTCTCAGGACTTTCTTTGTTCTGAACTTAGAGCTGATACCAATCACAAGTGCAAATCCCAGCTCCTTTCTGCATTCATCACTCTCCAACGAGAGCCTGCGCCTTCAACATCAACTCCGGCAAAGTTTTGCCGAGGTTTGTCAAGATGTTGTGTTTATGGTGTTCATCTTCATGACAGGGACTAGAGCAGAAAGATCTAGGGAGCTTCTTAAGAGCCTATTATTTTTAATTCATTAAATGTGAATCTCTTTATATGGATACTTGGTTCAAAGTATTTCAGTTATTTATTGCCTAACCCAGTATCTTCGCTATTCCTAGCTTTTGCACAGTTCCTTGCAGAAATAACTTCATTCCTTTAATCCTTGTTGGTTTCTTGGATCTCTGTCAGAAACAATGGCTCAATCATTTTTATTTGAATTTTTTGTTTTCCAAAGTGCTGCTAAGGGGGTGAGGGAGGCAGAGGCACAGAACTTGGCTCTGGATATCTGAGTATTTTCATCATATGGCATCATTCCAAGAGTCTTTCTCTGGAAGAACAGATTGGCTGTAAGAAGTAAAAATCAGAAGGAAAAAAAAAAAAAGTCCAAACTGTTGTATCTGTGAATAAAATCTACAGTGGTCAAGCCTGCACCTGCCAAGCCGTGGATACTGTCCTCTGGTTAAATTTGATTATAAATACATTAGAAAGGGAAAATATGTCATCAGCTAAGAACCTTCACTCCTGACCTGGGCCATGAGTTTTGCTCCACGCTCTTCCAGTCAGCCCACATGGGTGTGATGGCCCAGAAACTATCTAATTGGAATCAGTGAAAGGGCAAAGCCTGGAATTTGGGAAAGGCAGAACACAGCTGTTCTGAATTAAAGAGCAGGTTGTCGACTTCTGCAGACAAAGAGGCCCGCCATAGAGGCCAGCCTTTCTTCACCCAGGAGGCCAAAAACAGGAGGCCCGACAGAGGAGTCTGGCCCGGGAGAACTTTCCTCCGAGGCAAAAATGTCTATCTAAAGTCTGAGCGTTCTTTGGCACTTGAGCCCTTCCACGTGTGCCGTGCTGATCTGAGAAGGCAGCTTCGTCCCCCTGGGCTGCTCAGACTGCGTTTTTATTTAACTCTCACATCCTGGATGCCACACCAGACAGTGCTAATAGAGGTGCCTGCTCCCCTCCCTTTATATCACAGCTCCCCTCCTCCTTTGTCACTGCTCCGCCTAAAAGATACAAAGTCAGGAGAGCTCAAAGGGAACCCCCTAGCGCACATTAAAAGCTAAGCACAAGTCAGTGTCAAACTTCCGCTCTCAACTCGGCCAAAAGAAATCTCAGCCTCAGAGAAAAGACCTCCACATGTATCCCTGCTACACGTCCCTGGAGCTTTGATGCCATTCCGAGTTTGAACAAATATTATGATGAGTCCAGTTACTGCAACAGATCCTCTTTTCATTCTATCTCCCCTACCCCCCACCCCGCGAAGAACCTCCCTGGAAGAGCTCACGGGCTGTTGAGCCCAGAGGGAGAATCCTATTTTCAGTTTTGTGATGTTTGAAGAGGGACCGAAAACATTTACAAAACCTTTCTTGCCTCGTGGCCTTCCCGTGCGTGCTTGCTTTCCCCACACAGCGTTCCCTTAGACATCCCTCCTCTGCTACTCGGTCTCCTCCATAGCCACTAGTCGGGTCAACAGCTGAGCTGCCCACTCCACACAAGGTGCCCCATTATTTCGTTTGCTCGCCGTATTTGTTGTTCAGGTACTGTTATTTTTCTTATTCACTATTTTCGCTATTTCGAAAAAAAAAATAATATGTAGAAAGTTTCGATTTATCTGAAAGGCCACTGCTGCTTAGTGATATGGGACCAACTTTCAAGCCAAAAGGAACTGACTGTCCAGGCTGGTGTTCTGAAGAGCGTTTTGGGAATCGGTGACATGAAACTTGAACCTTGTTAGATGTGCAGTGTCTTCTGTGGCCCCCACTTCCCATGCATTGCATCAGATCCTATGTATTAATAAGAGTTTAGACAAACCAAGGCTTTCCGAGTCCTGCTATGGCCAAGCGCGATTCGTAACGTGGATGCTCTACTGTAGGTCTCTTCTTAAAGGAACCTGTTTATTACTTATCCCGTGTGACCTTTCAGACTATGATTCTTCTGATTCCTAAGGAACTACAGCAAAGTTCTTCTGAAGAGACAGTGGGTTTACAGACAGTGAAAGCAAGCAGAGCAAAGCTCAGAGGCACAAGTTGGGAGAAACCATAGAGACATGGCAACACAGTTCTCCAGGGTCTGGGGATGAAAAGCAAAGGACTTGAGCATCTCTCTCAGCTACATTTGTATGGTTTCTGGAGCCTGAAAGTTGGAAGGGATGGAGAGGGATTGTTTGAACAAACTGTAAGTCCTGAGTAAACTCAGTCACTCTGAACTCAAAATAAGATTGGGGCCACATCCCTGCTACTCGATGTCACAAAACAAGCCACACTGTAACAGGACACACTGTGCTCTTCACATTCACCATCTCTGTTTCACCCAAGATTCCAAACGTCACCTCAGCTGAACAAATTTTGTCTAACCAATAAAGGTCCTTTCCGAATCCTCAGAGAAGATAAGGATCTTGCTACAGCCCTGAATTCACAACCCTTACTTTATGTTTGGGTTCTTGAAATGGAAAATCACAAAAGCTCATTTTTCTGAGACAACGAACGAGGAAACCAGGATTTCAGATATGCCGGAGGCTGATTTGGCCTTGGGTAGTCAAGCCGTTCTATGTGCAGGTCAATCAACGATCCCAGGAGTAGAGTACAAACCATCAATATAAAATGAAATAAGATGAAATCGACAACCCAAAAGACAAAGGAAACATTTTCTCTATTTTCAGGCAGCAGCAAAGGACTGATTGAGATTTTACTAAAAGTCCACTTTGATTCCTCTTCTAAATTCTGTCCATGTAGTCACTGTACGATATGTGGTGGACACTTAAGCTGTTGTAAACGGAGAATGGAGTACAGCAGTAAGCTTAACTGGATGGGTGCCTGGAAGATGTATCTAACTTTTCCTGTAGACTGTTCTATTTATACCTATTGCAAAAAGAGTGGTCATTTGGACTTGCTTTGAAAGATGGACTTCTCAAAATATGATATAAGATACAGTCTCTGATGGTTCTGAAATAAGCAAAGGTAATTTCTGACAGGGTGAGTGGGACCTTGGGAGAAGCCACCAGTCACTGCCTCCTCATCTTGTGTATATACATTTTATATATAAGATGTTTAAATAGCATCTGTTTGGCTTCAGGCCAGTTTACTTAGCCAAACCCTGGTTTTGACCTGCATAGGGACAATTCAGCTCATGAAAAAGTGCTTATGAAAAAAAAAGTTCTGTATCAGGCACCAGATGCCTCAGTCCTTCCCTTTGCTTCCACACTCTTCATTCGTCCCTTCAATACCACTCAGAGGTCAGCTTCCAGCATCTGGGGCTTGCTCACTGTGGACAGGTGTACATTCACAAGTGACCACATGGCTGGATAGGCACCATGTTTGGAAACAAAAAAAATGCATATTGTACACATATGTTTTTCATAGCCTTCATACCTCATGTTACTTTTAACAGTCATCAAAGAAATCCCAAGCATAACCACATTGCTCATTTCATTATACTATAGAATTTTATAAATAAGGGCCTGAATAGTTCTTTTTTTTTTTTTAAATGAAAACACACTTAAGCATACTCTTCTACCCCACACAAAGATAAAATGAGCACAAGGTAAAGGAGAGTGGCTACCTTTGGCATTGGGAACTGGCAGGCTCCAGAGCAATAGTAAGCATCAAATGACTTGGGGGAGATAATCCATTCACTCCATCCAATATCAGCAAAGTCCACTTTAAGGTACCTCCTGGCACAGTTCCGAGGTTCGATCCATTGCTTTCGTCTTGCCTTCTTCAGGGTCTGCTCATCAAACTTCAGTGTCTGTCCCTTCTGATGAGGCCCTTTCCTCTGTTTCTTCTTGTTCTTGCTCTTCTCCAGGGGCTGAGTCTGAAGGCTCTTGTAAGGCTTTCTCTCCTCCCATACCCCATCCTCCTTGTACTGATACTCTGCCCCAGGTAGCTCATTGTTCTGCAATGGCAACAAGATCCCAGTAGAGCGCTTCTTCCTCCTTTCAACAGAGGGGGCATCTCTGACATGGCTATCCAGTCCAGGCACAGTTCCTGTGGAGAAATCTCGGTGTCTCTGTAAACTAGATACCACGCTTTCTGGCTCAGAAATGGCAGCATCATTGGCATATACCAAGATGTAAGGCTCCGGGAAAAGCAGCATCCTCTTGGGCAGCTCATGTGCTCTGGAGGTAATGTTAAATCCAAGGAGGAACTCCTCATTTTGCTTGGACTTCCTTAAGAGCTGAGTGATGTCTTTTGACAGCCAAGACATACTGTCTCTATAAGGTTTGGCCACATCTATGGACAGGTGACCCAGGAGCTGGCTTTGGTTGGATTTGAGGATCCATGCTGAGAGATCTATCTGGATGTGCTGTCTCTGAGCACGATGGAAGCATCCTTGGGACACTGGACAGCCCAAGCTGATGTTCATTAATTCTCCAATATAGAAATACAGTGTGGCTGACAAAATGTTTTCAGACTTGGTTAGAGAAGTAAGATTAAAAGTGTGCAACCCTCGTTTTTGAAGGGTTCCTAGGAAAGAAAAAAAGAGAGAGAAGCAGAAGTAAACATGAAGTATTATTTTATGCAGTATTCAAAATTCAACTCAAAGTAAATCAGCACTCTAAATATAACAGTTAATGCTATAAACCCTTGGAAGCAAAAAACATGGAGATAAATCCTCATGACTTTAGAGTTAGCAGTGGTTAACATATGCCAATGCATTCAGTAAAAGGAAAAATGTACCAATAAATACAAGCTTAAAATAAAGTAGACTTTACCAAAGGTAAAAGTGCTTGTATATTAAAGGCAAGTACCAAGAAAAAAATGAAAGACACTACAGAATGTGACAAAGTGTTTGTTGTAAAATATTTGCTGTGTATCTAAAAATTTAGTAGCCAAAATACAACAAACACACAAGTAACAGTTTTAATTCCACAACGGAAATGCTAATGTGAGCAGAGAGCTTGAACAGATACGTCTCCACGAGATATATACAAGTGCCCAAGAAGGATGTGGAAACATGCTGAGGGTCGGTAGGGAAATAAAAACCAGAACCCCAGTGAGGTGATACGTACTTGACGTCACCCATAACGACAGAAAGCCTTAAATATCAGAAAGTTTGTGGGAAGAAAGTGGAATTCCTTCTAATTATTAGGGTAGATGTAAATTGATTCAGCTGCTGTGGAAAATACTTTGGTATTTCCTCAAAAAAAAAAAAATCTAACCAGGAACTTAGCATATGATAAAGCAATTCCTCAGAAACTGAACACAGGCAGGCGCTCAAGTGTATATGCAGCAGCCAAAGGTAGTAATGGTCCAAACGACCATCAGCCAACGAACAGATAAACAACTTGTGCATCTATAAATCAGAGTACTGTCATTGTGAAAAAAAAAAAAAAGAATACTTATATGTGCTAAACATGGATGTGCTAGCACGGATGAACCTTGAAAAGTTATGCAAGGCAAAGAAACCACATGTCAGAGCTCACTTACTGCTTAATTTCATTTGTGTAAGCTATCCAAAGTATTTAAATCCACAGAGATAGGAGCAGAGGTGTTCTCTTGGGGTAAGAAGCAGCTAGGAATGAAATGAGAAGAAACTGCCTAATTGTTCTGAGGTTTTATTTCAGCTGATGGAAATATTTCAAAGCAAGTCAAGAATTTGCAGCAGCATAGCTTTCTGAAGGCTTAACTGCCACTTTATCATGTATTCACTTTAAAATAGCTAATTTCATGTTACGTGAATTTTACTTCCATGAAAAAGAGCAGGGAAGGGCATATGGGGGTGTTTGGAGAGATGGAAGGGAAAGGAGAAATTATGTAATTATATTATTGTCTCAAAAGAGATAATTTTTAAAAAGGAAACCAACGTGGAAAAGAAATTTTCCAGCTTCTTGCTTTTGAGGGTTTCTTTTAGAGAAAACACAGCATGCTGGCAGGAGTAAATTTCAAAGGTAGGAAAGAGTACGGCAAAAATCAATCAGCTTTACTAGTTCGTTTGGTCTTTGCTGAAGCACTGTGAATATGTGGAAATTACCGCACACTAGTACGCCTACTGTGCGCATGCTGGTGGGTGATGTGTGAGCGCTGGAGAAAACCAAGATGGATGTCTACAGACTCTGCACCTCAACCAGCTGCCTCTCTGACATGTTTTTTCATTCTTCTGGTCCAAGCAGAGGGCGTAGAATTTGAACTGGCTTTAATTATGGACTTAGTCACTTATTAGCTTTGAGACTCTGGGCAAGCTAATGTCTCATTCATAAAATGGAAAGGCTATTACAACAGACACTTAGAAACTGCTTTGAGTAAAGAACATGGACTCCCCATTGGGGGTCACAAGGCCACTAAAAGCATCATGAAAGCCTGGCATCTTTGCATCTGTGTTGTATCCTTTCCTTTACTCTGGAGCAGATTCCTGCCCAGCTGGACTCAGGCTTGTTACTAGCTTGACTGTCTGCCTCAAGTCTGGTGGTGCAGGGTGGCTAAGCCCCAAATGTACCCAACTTGTCTCATCCCCCTTCAAGTATGAAAGCGTAGAGATATGAGCAGCTAAGGTATTTCACTGTCAGCTTTCCCAGTGCCCCATTCTGGATCCCTCTTGCAATAGAGGGATCTCCAGTCACCTTGACTTCCAACAACAGCGAAACCTTACAGGAAAGTTGACCTTCTAATGGGGTTATCACCTAAAAGACAACAATCAGCTAACTGTGGTGGAAGCTGAAGTTGTTCTTATACCCACACAGGAAAGATCATCTTGGGAACCATGTTGTCCTTTCAAGGGATAAGGATTCATCCAGAGTCACCAGAACTGAGACAATGCGTACCTCATTGTCAAGTCAGACCTCAACTCGTCCAGGACTGCATACATATGAATGCCCTTTGCATCCTGGGACAATCGGTTCTTCCTCTATGTAAACCAGAAGCTTGCATCAGTACTCCGAAGATGAGCTGAGATGTCTTGCTTATCTCGGATGTCTTTCTGTTACTGTCATATTGCAGATCCCTTTCCTCCCTTACCTACCAGCACTTTCCACCATAATTTTTGTGTGAGGAGCCTATCTCCTGTGTTGTCAGAATTAATGAGGTATGTGTAATGTTCATAAAAGTTCTAATGTTTCTTAAATGTAAATTAGTAAATTGTGATCTGAGCCTTACTATCATTATCGTAGGAATTATGGCTCCTTCTAACCTACTTTACGAACCATGGATTGGGTGAGTAAGATCCTAGAATGTGGATACTGTGACTAAACGAATGAGCCACGCCTTTAAAAACGTAAAAACATAGCACTGTTGTTCAGCTTGTCTGAAGCTCAGCATTCCGTGAATTCAAACTCTAAATTTACATAGTTCATGAAAAAAAAAAAAACAATTGAAGTCATTAAGTCACACTTCTAGTTCTTCTATTTGAGAAATAAGCAACAGAAAGAGCAGGAAGCTAGTTAGCAGCTGCAGAAATGAGTCCTCGTAGGATCATCTACTGAGTTCCAGGGAGGCTGAGGTTGGACCTGAAGAAGCCAGAGCCTGGGGTCTGTCCCAGAGAGCCGCCTCCATGCACTTGTTCCATATACATACTTATTTCAGAAACACACATGCCATCGTGAAATTATGTTCTTGATCAAAACCACGTTTCAGTAAAAACAAAACATTTTTATAAAGACGTGGAAACTTAAAAATGAGTTCATCAAGTCCCCAAGCACGGGGGAAGTGCAATGGGAAACATATTTTACTCATTTTTAACATTGTGTGAAGCAAAAGGAGGAAACTGCCATTTGTGCACATTTGTATAATCCATGACACTGGGATAATATCTTACAGACCTTTATAACAAAGCTATGGCATTGGGCTGTTCAGAGGCTCTGTCCTTAGTTTCGCCCAGTCACCACAACGTCTATTTTTTTTTTGTCCAAACTCCACATAGCTGAGGGGCATTTAAAATGCAGGGAAGAGAAGACACACCATTTCAAGTGCATGGCAATCAAAGATTACCCACAAACACACTGGCGGGGGACGGATGAACTGCAAAGGATGGGGTGTCACTGTCTCACTTGGTCATCTCATCTTACTTCTGTCCTCCACGTCCCGTCTCTGAATGTTTTCTTCTTCCAAGCACACTTCTTCTTGCCTTGTAACCTGCTGTCAGTTAGCCTCCTCCCCATCTCCAATCTTCAGTGTCAACCGACTCTCAGAATTCTGCTACATTGCCTTCTCTCATCTCTCTTACTTCAGCCCGGTGCATTCTCTCAAAGTGCCATGGCCAAGACTCAGATGCACCGTAGCCAACGGCTAAGCTCCCAAAGTGCCGGTCTCTTCATCTATAAACCACGCTTAGTAGAACCAACTACAGGGGCTATTTGGAGAATCCATTAAAAGAACTCCGGTACAGCACACAGCACACAGACCCATTAAACATCAGCTAATTACAAACGCACCATCCAGAATGGTGGTGTGTAATTGAGACATGCTGGAAACATACAATACTCCCTGAATTTCAAAGACCTCATACCAATAAGAATGCAACATGTCACATGTGCATACTAAAGACTTTCATGGAGTTGAACAAATGAGTATATAGCAATAATGAAGAATCATATAACCACCGGTAAGAAACCTCCCACCGTCGTCATAAAAGAAACTCCAGGCTCAGCATCACACAAAACATGACTTGCAAGTTGGGAAGAGGAGGGGGTTCAGCGGGAGAAAGAATGGGGATGAGACAGAATAACTTAGAGTAAGAATGACTAAAATTCATTATATATGTCATGAACCTGCAAGAATAAATCTTTTAAAGCGACAAATGCCTTCCTGTAAGAACTACATGGCAATTACTAAGCATTTATTTTCCAACTTCTCCTACGTTCAGATCTTAAAGTAATTTAACTTTCCCAATAATCTCATTGCAATAGGATCTCCCAGTTATAGCTCAGGCTGGACTGAAACTCCCGCGAACTCAGCTTTGCATGGAACTCACAGCAGTCCCCCTGCCTCGGCATCTGAAATGCTAGGACCAAGCCACCTCATCCAGCTGTCAATTAACTGTTTGCTTATAACAACAATAACAACAAAAAAAATGAGAATTTCTCATGTGTTTCACTTTATCCACGGTCCTTGCGCAACTTTACTCATAAACTTAGGTATCTAAGTTTAAATATCAGTAACAGGAAAGTGCTTTAACACCCACCTTTCGTGTTCTTAAGTATGCGGACACAAATGAATTTAAATTTCTAATCCCACACCTAAAGTGGACTTTCACACTTTTCTAAGTGTCAGTAACATGTAATACCAGTAGAAAATAAAAATAAAGGTGGACTTTATTAGCTTACATAATTGGCTTATGCACTTTCAGTGGGCATGGTAGCAAATCCGAACTGTATGCTGCACCTATCAAATACAAGTACAGCAGGTACTTACTTCCAGCACTCTGCTCTTAATTATTGGTACAGAGGAAAGTAATTAAGAAAGTAATCAAGATGACAGAGTTTTGGAACTGCAAAATAACTTCAGTTGAATAAATGAAAATACTTGACATGGAG